TTGAACATTTTTTCATGTATTTGTTGATGGATTGTATTTCTTCTTTTGAGAAGTGTTTGTTCTGTTCCTCTGCTCATTCATTGTGTTTTTTTTTTTGTTGTTGTTGTTGTTGTTTTGAGTTCTGTATATAATCCTGGAGGTTAATGCTCTATTTGAGGTGCAGGTGGCAAAAATTGGCCCCCATTCGGTAGGCTTTCTGTTCACATCAACCGTTTCCTTTGCTGGGAAAAAGCTTTTTAGTTTTATACCATCCCATGTATTAATTCTTGATTTTACTTTTTGGGCTTTACACGTCTTTTTGAGGAAATCAGTTCCTAAACCAAATGATGCAGAGTTGGGCCTAAATTCTCTTGTGGTAGGTGCAGGGTCTCGGGTCTAATGCCTGGGTCCTTGATCAATCCACTTTGAACTGAGTTTCGTGCAGGGGGAGAGACAGAAGTCCGATTTCATTCTCCGACTACCAGTTTCCCCTTTTCCCAGCACCATCTGTTAAGAGGCCGTCTTTTCTCCAGTGCACATTCCTGGTGCCTCTGTCAGCGTGAGAGAGCTGCAGTGAGGGGGGCTGTCTCTGGGTCTCCTGTTCCTGGTCTTCCCGTCTCTTCTGGTGCTTGTGTTCCTACAGCTCTGCGGTGTGATTCAAGGTCCGCTATCATGAAGTCTCCTGCTTCACTTTTCTCGCGAAGGATTTCTTGGACTCTTCTGGCCTCTAATTTTTCCAAATGAACTTAATGCCGGCTTTTTCTATTTCTAGGAAGAATGACTTTGGAATTTTAATAGGAATTGCATTAAATACGTATAGAGCTTTTGATAGCACGGGGCAGGATGGCCATTTTGACAATGTTGATTCTGCCTATCCAAGGACATGGGAGATCTTTCCATGGAAGGTTCTATCTTTATTTGCTAAACCTAGTAATCCTCGGGACCCTATTCAGGTGGCAGGAGGGAACTGAGTTCTGCCCTTGGCCTTCTGGCCTCTGGGAATGAGGGGGGCGGGGCTATCTGGGAGGCTGACCCATCTTTGGTCACTGCCCCAGCTGAGGGTCCTGCCTAACAAGAGGCCATTCTTGTGCTGATTTCTGTCATCTCCAGAAAAATAGAAAGAAGCCTGGGAAATGGTAGGAGGACCTTAAAATACTTTCCAAAGCATTTTTCAAACCCTCTGCCTCATTTAAGCCTCACGACAAGTCTGTTGTGTAATGAAAATCCGATTTTACAGTTTGTAAAAACAGACCCAAAGAAGTTAAGGGACCGGCTCAACACCTGGATGAATGACCCAGGGACATTCACCACCACATTCATCACCACAGTGGACACGTGACTGTCGCTGGTAGGAACCAGGACTAATAAGCTTTTCCGAGATTTCTGTCATATGTAGACTGGATACTCCTATTTCTCAGGAATAACCTCAGTTAAAAACAGACTCTTTCCTTAATTTCTCCCTAGGAAATTAAGAAAAGACCTCCTTCTCCTCCTCCCAAACCTATCAACATTAAGGTTGGAATATTCTGGGCTCCAGATTCTGGACTCTGCATTCCATCTCCAGCCACCTCTCCACCTGCACCCCAACTTCCTCTTCACCTGCACCCCACACTTCCGTCCTCCCACTCCGTGCACACTCTCCTCCAGGGAAGTATACAGCAAGACAGACTTGGTAAACACTCAGACTGCGGCACATTCACAGGCTTGGCCCTTGGAAAACATCAGTGTGCGTGGTTCACGTAGGAACAAATGGGCAGCTCCCTCCCCTGTGTCTCGTTCCGCCGCGTTGCTTCTCTGGAATAAATTGCAGTCCTCCTAATTTTCCCAGTTTGATCACGGGCCACTTACTTTATCAATAGACAACTCCTGCTTAGAACTCTGGCTGGTAAGAGAAGCTTAGTTTTCTTGCTCCAGGGAGGTTCAGAACAGAGACCTAAACATGAGCCTTAACCCTAAACCTTAACCAAAACCAGTCTCTAATCCTGACCCTGACCTTAATGATACACCTAGCTCTAAACCTGGCCATGAAGGGGCTAGGCTTGCTAGATGGAAGTATCCCAAACACAGTCAATCTCATGTGCATCCCGTAAGTTACATCTTTTAAAACCTTGGCAGTTGACTTCCCTGCTGGTCACCTTCCCCTCATTCCATAGAGAGGGAAGATGACACTTGAGCAGAGACTTGCTTTGCCCAAGGTCATGGCAAGGTCAATGTCAAAGCTGGGTT